CTGTCAAAAGTTAATACTGTCATTCTAGAAAATGTGAGAAATAGAAGCCTGCAGGTATAGTCATAAAAAAAGTGTTTGTTCGCTAATTTGAAAATAAAAATGATCACACAGGATCCCATCACCTAGGGGTTAATACTTTCTCTCCTTTCTTTCCTATGCTTATTCTGGGGGGAGGTGGTTATCATTTAGATGATATTGTGCAGATAACTTTAATCCTGTCCTCTTCACCTAATATGAGGTAACCGTTTCCTGTTGGTAGCGAGAACTTCTCGCAAGCATAATTTTTAATGCTTTCTTATAAATCCACAACAGATGCAGGGTGTCCCCTTAACCATCCCCCTCTACCTCCACCCTTTTCTTTTTGCTGCACTGTGATCTTTGCCTGTTTTTTTGCTTTGTTTTGTTTTTGTTTTTTAGGTCATTCCCTGAGGATGGGTTCCTAGATGTAAAATTCCTGGTTCAGCTTTACGGTTCTTATTACATACTGCCACATCAATTTCTAAAAAGTTTATGGCAGTTTACTCTTTCACATGGCAACCTAGGAGTGCTGTCACCAGTGACAGGTATAGTCATAAAAAAAGTGTTTGCTAATTTGAAAATAAAAACTGGCCTCTCGTTGTCTGTGTTTCTTCTTACTCTGTGCCCATGTACACATCCGGCCCATCAAAACATCTCCTAGCATCTCTGAGCTGTGGTGTTATTGACTCAGACAGCCTGGGTTGGAATCCCAGCTCCCCTGCCGCATGACTGTGGGCAAGTGATTTAACCTCTCTGTGCCTCAATCCCCTCATCTGTAAAATGGGGATAATACTGATGCTATTTTACAGGATTTTTGCGAGGGTCGGATGAGATATTGCAGTGCATGGCAGATACACCCTCGATGACTACAAATAAGGACACGGGCCTTTGGTTGTATCTGTTGTCAATGTTGTTTGCTCTTTTGATGTTTACGGTTTAGTTGTAGTATATGAGCAATTCTTGAGATACAAGATATTTTAGTTTTTACGAAAGTAATGCAAGAAACAAAACTCGAGTTTCCAAATGGGGAGGCTTGTGGAAGAAAGCCAGTGAGATCAGCGCGGTGCCTGCTTCTATTTTTTTGTTAGAATGCTAAATTAAGATGTTCAAAGAGCCAGAACAGCGAGGCCAGCCGGTCATCACCTTTCCTGCCCAGCGGAACCCCCGGCGGCGTCACCGAAGCTCCGTAGAAACACTGATGCTCCTGCCCCGTGGTTCCGATTCTGTAGGTGTGGGCAGGGCCCAGGTCTCAGTGTCTTTGAAAGGTCTGCAGGCTACCCTGGTGCCCAGCCGGCTTTCACTGGGTGAGGCCGACGGGCACTCCAGTTTGTTGAGTCCCTGCAGGAATCAGAATGACATCCCCACCTCCAGTCTCCTTAATTACTCCATGCAAAACTGTCACCCCATCCATGTCCTCCTGACGACTCCTCCCGGCAAGGCAAGCGGTCTCTCCGGCCCCACCTCCTGTGGTTGAGGAGCTTGAACCGAGATAATCTCAAAGAAATAGCAGATGGAGTATTCAACACACTGTGCCTGAGGCTGACTGCCTCTCGAGAAGTCTCACTGTTATTTAAACCAGTCTGAATTGGGTTTCCTTTTGGCCCTTAATCATTCTTGGCTGGTGGAGGCCCCAACCTTAAATTTGACCCGCACAGGACGAAAACTTGCCCAGACTCCCCCGCTTGCTTCTCCCTCTGGGCTGTCACTGCCCCCGGCCCACCTCACTCCCCACCCCCCCGAGGTCCCCAAAGGGACACTCAGAGCCCACCGCCCACCCTGTCCACTCCCACTGCCCCTAACAGCTCTCTGGGGAAGCTTCAGTGTCATCAGCCATCCGGGGGACTCTGGCACATCAAGCCGATCTGAAAATGGTAAACACACACGGCCTATGGAGCCACCTGTTCGAACGTCTCCATGCGCGGAGCGCCCACTTCCTTTCCTCCACCCCTGAGATGAGATTTCATGACAACCTGCTGGCACACCAGGGCCCATCTAGTTCATCGTAATTCCCAACTGGAAGATAGCCTTTTCCACAGAACTTCATTCAAACCTTTGGCTTTTTGGCAGGAGGGAGGGGCATGGTCGACAAAGAAACAATACCACCAACAAAAGAACAGACCCCTCCCCAAGGGCAAGGCAGAGAGATATACATTTTAGAGGGCGGGCACCTAAGAAATGCACGCACAAAGGAAACCCTCGACAGGGGCAATGCCGGCAAGAGGACAGTGTGTGCGTTCGGACAAAGTCCAAGAAGGAAAAATGAAATTCAGTAGTTGCTGAAGAGTGAACATTCACTTCAGAAGTTGCCTCTTGGTCCCAGAGTTCACACCGCAGCATGCGTTTTTAAAGTGAAAGTCAAAATCGGACACGCTTTGAGTTCCTTTCCAATGGCAAAGAGAAAGGAAGGCTTGTGGGGGGTGGGGGGGGGGATGTGGGGAGATGTGGACAGTTTGCCCGCCCTCGGGGCAGCTTCCAAACAGGACCCTGCACTTGACCAAGAGCCCAGAAACCCCAGCCTCCAGGACGGCTTCCGGTCAAAACAAAGATCCACCTAAGACATGTGAGTCTGTCTAAAACAATCCCTCCAAGGTTGAAGCTTTTCGCTGAAAAACGGAGAAAAATTTTCCGTTGGAAAAAACACGCACCTATAAGGCTATAAATGATTTTACTATTCCAGTGGCGGAATCCGGTAGCTAGGAAAACAACTCAGTGGACATAGTCTCTTACACCCAAGCTCCTAAAGGAGAATTTCTGAGCCCCATGAGGCAGCCTTGGAATGAAGTGGGAGTAGCGAGGTTCCCAGGGCCCCCCGCCACACACAGCGGCCGGCCCACTGTGTTCCCCATCAGAGTAGGACCCGTGGTGAGCAGCCTTGTAGGGCCTGGGGCCACATCTCCTTCAGGTCATTTGAGACATAATAAGACAAACATAACCTTAAGGCAGCTCAGGGCCAGTCATTCCTGGAATCCTGGAATTCAGAGGCTACCCAGAATATAAAAGCTGCTCCAAAATGGCAAATATGTTTGCACAGCGGAGGTTAAAAGCAATGTCAAAGAAGGTGCTTTGAAAACAGAAGGGCAGAAACTCTTAATGCTCCTAATTTCCATGGAGCCTCCCATCCATCTGACCAGGTGGCATGCCTTCTCTACCTGGCCCAGGTGTGCGCTGTGGACACGTCCGCCAACCGAGCGCAGCTCTGCTTCCTGGGAGAGGGGTGGGCCCAGCAAAAGCTCTGCGACCGTCCCACGCTTCTTTTATTGACTAGTTTATCAAGGAAACAATCTGATGAGCCTAACAACCAGGGATGCTCCTGCATCTGCAGCCCTCATTTATTATTTAAAGCCGAAAACCAGCAACAGCTATGGCAACTTACTGGAGTCCCTCTCTCTCTGTCTCTCTCTCATACACACACACACACGCACGCACATGCACACACACACGCGCGCGCGCGCGCACACACACACACACACACACACACACACACACACACACACACGGGAAGGGGACTTACATCACAACTGCAACCTACAGAAGATGATTCAACCCAGTCTCTCTGCATTTTCATGAGGTTACAGATCGAGTTAACTCATGAAACCACAGCGGGTTTCAGTCTCCACCATGCTGGGTACACATCCCACAGTTTCAGTGGACAGGAATCCAAAGGAGTGCAATTCTTCATCTGAGCCAGGCTCTGATTGGTCAGTAGTAATTTAAATACATCTTTCAGCACATAGAGTGAGACCGACGCACGATGCCTGGTAGAAGGTAAAGCACCTTCTCTGTTTTACGGATCTCTCTCCTCCAACAGTATCTTTCCTTCCGCATTTCCAACACTCTACTAGTCTTCAGAAACACCAAGGAGATCATGAGTAGAACTGCAGCTCAAAAAGCGCCCTTGGCAGGTTAGGCATCGCGGAGAGAAATGGCTGCAAGAGGCCGTCTCGCCATGGCCTGGAACCTCCTCCTTTCCAGAACGAACAACTGTCTGGCCGGCCCCACGGCGGAGGCACCGAGTGCCCGGCTGGACACCACGCACCCATTCTTTCCACCTACAGGTGCATTTCCAGAGCAGATGAGACAGGGCTGAGGGTTAGCCCTACGGAACGCTCTTGCAAGAAACATCAACTCCAAACGGGGGCCATCTGAGCTTACAAGGCCTTTTAAAAATCATTTTTTCAAGGTATAACATAGTCTTTTATTCTTGATATTTTGCCAAAGAGTAACACATTCCTTTGAAAGTAACACCTGAACCTGCAAAAGGCAGGGAGCTCAAGTGTGCCAGCAGCTTTGGTACCTCAGACACACCAACATGGCGACTCCAGGTGCGGCTTGGAGCAGCCGGGCACTCACGTCTAGTGAGATATTTTTTAAATGAAGAGGACTCTCCCTCCTTCCACCTACTAGCAAAAGCTAGTTTTCCCAGCGTCTGAGTTTAAAAGTTTCCTTTTTGTACCATCAACTCCAGCCACCCATCTTGCCCAGGCTCCTTGGTGTTGGAAGGCCATCACCCATCCAACCGGTCAGTTACTTCGACTTAAAAATCAACAGACTCTCAGCCACCAACGCTGTAGACCTCATGTGAGCAACAGCCACAGTACAGCGGTTTCCAGCCTGCCCTCGTGACACAAGAATGGGCCATGGCTCCTCTTGGGTCTATTCATACAGTCACAACCACACATCCACGCGTGTCCCCGACATCACGGCAACCATCTTTCTCTTCTGTCTCCCTCCTACTTCAAGACCAACGGGCAAGTTACATACATTTCAAGCCTCCAAACAGCCTCCAAGACAATCCCAACGCACAGTCCTCAGAAAATGGCATCCACCGTGGGTGGAAATAACCAAGCAACCCCGGCCCACGGCAGCCTCCACGCGTGCCCCCAGATCTGGCCCAGTGACCACGCTGCCAAGACCACAGACCCCAACCCCACGAGAGTCGGCACTCTCCCCAAGCAGAAAGATATGAACACCGTTGTCCCTACCTCAATCAAGAAGTCCCCAGTCCTCAGTCCGGCTTGCCATGCCACCCCACCTTCATCCACGGACTCCAGGTACTGCAGGGCTGGGAACGCTGGCGTTGGCGTGAACTCTTCGATGGGCGTATCCGCTGGGAAGACAAGGTATACCTCATTACAAGCCTGGGAGGTGTTTCCAAGTTGGTAGCCCAGGCCTCCCACGGGACCCTGGGAGAAAGCAGGCCCTTGTATCTCCGTGGGAAGTGGGTGGCCCAGGCCAGCTCTCCCCTGGGAAGGGGCTGACACTCCTGGTCACGGGTCAACACCAACTCAAGCGACGGAGCCAACTGCATTTTGGTGCCACCAACATCTCTCTTGGCCTCTGTGCTGAATACACAGGATAGCGTGCTCCCCTGTCCATGTCTGTATGTACACGCCTGTCATTTTCTTTAAAAGCATCAGTGACTAAACATTTTCAGTTCTATAAATGGAAAAGCTCCCCCCATAACCACATGGAGCTACAGAAACACCACACTGAACTGCTTGCCAAATTTACATCTACGTAGACTCGCAACCAAGGGAATTCAACTTGGAGCGTGGACGGAACAGAACGCTGACCCAGTGGGTGGCTGCAGATTTGGAATCCGCTTATGAATTCTCTCTGTTGGGAGCCCGGCTCTCTGTGGCCACTGTGCGGCCAGCGTCCATGGGAGGGCTGGGACCCCACTCCTCAGCAGAGCCAGCGCTGGCTTCTGGGCCCCGGAGCTGCAGAGGGAAACTCTAGGGGAAGAGGTGGACTTTCCTGGGTGGTCATGTGAGGCCGGGGGTGGCGGGTGGGAAGAGGAAGCCGGCCTCGGTCGCGGGAGGGGAGACATCACACAGACAGTCATGGACACACGTGGGGACAGATGTATCTCTTCTCCCTCCCTCTGGACGAGCTGCTGTCAGGGCAGCCCGGGGCCTTGAGCAGGTGGGGCTGCCACCGGGGAAGGAGGCCTCCCTGGCCAGCACAGGTGCGGGACCCCCAGCGTGGCACGGAGGCTCCGAGACCAAACTTGCACACGGTTTCCCCACACACGCGGGGCACAGATGTCTCCTCTCACGGGGACGTGATGCCATTTTGTTTTATTCTGGAAGGGAAGACCCCAAGTTCAGGGCTGGCAGTGGGTGCACTGCCGTGGAACACGTTCCTGGAGCCCTCACTGCAGGCCACGTGACATGTATGCTGCCGGCTGGGCCACGGCGGAGGGGACCATCTTGCAAAGTCACCTTAGAGGCGGGCACCCGCACGCCTGCCGCACTCGGAGCTGGGGCCCACTCCCAGAACGGGGCAGTTCTGAGGTGCCCGAAACTCGGGACCGGGTAATTCTGGGCGTCTGAGACCAGGAGCTCTGAAGCCAGCCACAATCAGGCTGAACTAAACCATGAAACATAGATGAAACCCAGGAATTAAAAAAAAAAAAAAAAAACAGGCGTTTCCTTCTGGCTGGAATGTGACTATGATGGCAGAAGCGAGAGTAACCATCTTAGAGATGAATAGAAGCTGCATGTTGAGAGACTCACAGACATAGAGAACAGACTTGTGGTTGCCAAGGGGGAGGAGGGGTGAGGGAGGGATGGATTGAGAGTTTGGGATTAGCAGATGCAAACTATTAGATGTATGTATAACTGAGTCACTTTGCTGGGCACCAGAAGCTAACAACATTGTACACCAACTATATACTTCAATAAAATAATTCTTTTTTAAGCTGCTCATTTAGGATGGCAGCAAAACAAGAGAGAAGGATCCGGGGAGGGAGGGAGGGAGGGACGGGGTGGGGGAGAGAGAGAGCAATATTGTGCACAGAAAATTAAAAATATTCCTAAAGGAAGCCCCGATGTTTTAACAGGCAGAATGTTAAAGAACATGGTTGTCTAGCAACCGAGTACCCCCAGGAAAAGGGCTTCTTTTTGAGCCGGGGAACATTTTTCCTACAGGCGCGCGCGCACACACACACACACACACACACACACATGTGGATGTATCCAGGCTGGGAGCCGCTGATCTTACCTTTCGCCCCGCGGAGCACAAATCCGAAACCCTCATTGTCTTTCTTCTGTAGGACCACGGTCTTCTCCTCGATGATGCAGTCACTGTAGAGAGAATTCCGGGGATAGCGCCCATTACTGTAGCCCGTCATCATCACCGTGGCCGATCCTCCAGCGGGGACGTTCATCATCATAGCCAATTAATCACCCCAGCTCGCGGGATCCAGGCAGCATGGAGGCAAGCAAGCCGGGTGCAGGAGGAGTGAAGGCAGCTGGGGGGCAGGCTAACGGGATAGGCGGGCTCGGAGGGGGGGGCCGGGCAGAGGCAGAGCGGGAGCGAGCAGGAGGCAGGAGTCATACATGGTGATGGCAGCGCGGGCTGGCTCTGGGCACCGGAAAGCAGAGAAAGTAAGTGGCCCGCGGGCACGGAGGAGGCCGCGCGTTACGGAGCCCGGGCCGGAGGCAGCATCCAGGGCAGCGCAAGGAAGTCAGCCGGAGCGGACAGGAGGCAGCAGGCTTTGTTTTTTTTTTTTCCTTCTCGAAGGGCTTTAAAAAAACATCACATTCTTTGTGCCCCCTGCAGCCGCAGGCACCGGGAGACGCGGCGACCCCTCCCTCTGCTCCGGGGGAACGCGGGCCCCCCCTCGGTCTTCCGCGGAGCCCACAATGCCACCGGCGGCGGCGGCGGCGGCGGCGGCGGCCGGGCGTCATCCCGCGCGGAGAAACCGCAGGCCGGCGGAGGGGGCGGCCGGCGGGCGGGGGCAGGTCACTCCAGTGACACGGAAGCCACTGACAACCCGGCCTCCTTTGGAGGGTGGCGTGCCGTGGGGATGGGGAGAAAGGGGGCTGCAGGCTCCCCCTTGGAGACACAGTCTAAAGCCACACCAGCTGCCTCTTGGCACAGAATTTTGGGTTTTTTCTTTAAAGGAAAGAAACCCCCAAAGCTCCAACTTTGCTTCGGTGGCCAGAGCCTCCCACCATCCAGAGTACGGGCGCGTCGCCACGTGATCAACCGCCCGCGGCACGGGGTGCAGGACCGAGGTGGACTTCCCGGCGCCCCGCCCACCTTCCGGGGGCTGCATCCCTCTAGGATTCCCTGCTGCCCCGGAAGTAAGTCGGAGGGGGCGGGGAGGGCCGCGGCAGGGGAGGGGCAGGAGGCAGCGCGGAGAGGCTTTCTCCAGGGTCCTAAGGGGCTGGCGTGGGAGGGCAGGAGGGGGCGGAAGGGCCCCGGCGGGCGGGCCCCCAACAATTCCGCAGGCCTCTGTCCTGGAGGGGGAGGCCTGGGGATGCAGACGGCGAACGGTGGGACGGGCTTGAAGTCCCAGACGACTGAAGGTCAGCTTTGCCCAGCACTGGATTCGCCACCTGCAGGAAGCGCGTGGCCCCCGCTTGCAACCCAGGTAGGGTGGCCCGGCAGGGGCCAGCAGCCGAGAGCATCGCACAGCACGGACGAGCCGGGGCAGCCTCCGAGAGGTGGGGGACGCAGCCGGAGGACACACAGGTGTCCGGACCCGCTGCTAGCCCTCCAGCCCTGCATGAGGTGCCACACAAAGGAACTCGTGGGCGTGAGCCTGCCTTCCAGGAAAGCAGGGAGGGACACACACCTTGACAACAGGCAGACCACACAATCCTGGATGACCGGCCCAGGGTGTTCTCAGAACCCCGGGCCGGGGTTCAGTCCCTGGGCACTCACTCAGCCTGCCAAGTACAGGGGGCCCCAGGGAGCCATTGCTTTAACTGCCGCCTGGCGGGGAGCCAGGACCGGGGAACCACAGGAGCGGAAGGGGAGGGGCTGGGTGGGCGGGGCTCTGGGGGGAGTGGACCCTCCACCAGGCCTGTCCACCTTTCCATCCCGTGCCTTCCCCGACCAGATTACAGACACAACTGTCTCCCCACCACCCCTTCTCCCCACCTCTGAACTTCTCAAGCCTGAGCGCGCCCTGGCTGGGCAGGTGCAAACCCACCACCTGCTCCTCCAGCGAGAGGCCTCCAAGGGCCAGGCTGCTGAAGCCACGCCTTTTGCAGCTGCACGTCCCCCTGCAGGAGCGGCCCCTTGAAACTCTGGAAGCATGATGCCTGCCCCCCTGGGGACACATGTGGCCCCTGACGCCTGCCTCTGCCCGGCTCCAAGGTGACCCTGTCCCGCTCTCCCCTCTCGTGGCCTCACTGTGGGCCGGCTCCGCCCGCCTGGCAGGCGACCCCGACACCTTCAGCTGGACCCTCCAGCTGTCCCCCAGGCCGGGGAACTTGTTAGGGGCAGTGCGGCTGGCCGGCCACTGGTTGACTCCCTCCCTACCGACTGTGGTGGGCGAGGGAAGGCATTAGCGTCACGCAGAGCTCAGCTCGGATCCCGGCTTTGCACTGGCCCCAAGGTCACTCTGACCTTCAGAGCCTCAGAGTCCCGCTCTGCAGAATGGGAATAGTAGCAAAAGGCACGCCTTGAGGACCTCACGAGGAGTCAGCAAAGCAAATCCATCTGAGCCCAGGTACGCAGCACGTGCTAAGAACAGCAGCCGTCCCGAGCGGGGTCATCGTGGGCATGTGCCAGCCCCCTCCTCCTCCTGTAAGGACCCCTCCCAGGCTCATGGCAGAGCCCCTCTCCTGAGTCCCCTCTTAAACCTCGCAGCGGTTCCTGACGACTTGCTCATGGCTGCCTGTCTTGTCCCTGTGCTGTGTGGCTACGCCGTCCTGCTCACCGAGAAAACGGCCGACTCCTTAGTCTCTGATCTGAAGAAAGGCAGCTTGAATTCCTCTCTCCTGCATTAGTTCAGTAGCTAAACAGCCCCTGGTCCCCTGCCCGTCATGACCCCATCTCACCTTCATTCACACACAGACCTGGGTTTGAATCCCGACCTGGGCATTCACCAGCTTAGCTTCTCAGAGCCTCAGTTTCCCTATCTGCAATGTGGGAGCAGTAATTCCTGCCTTGCAGGGACTCTGAGAGCAAGTGAGGGCAGTCCCCCTGCCCTCACAACAGGAGAAGGTGCCCTCGTCAGCATCCCCATGTGCCGAACCCCCCAGGAGACAGTGACGTCTTCCTGGGGTTACCCAGCACGGGGCCACGTGAAATGGAGCAAAATGGGCATGAACGCAGGCGTGCAGAACAGGGGTGGCGGTGGCAGCGGCCAAAGGAAGACCGCAGGGTTTAGAGTGAAGAGGTCTCCGGGACGGTCCCCAGAGGGCAGGGCGGCTCAGCACTGTGGAGGGCCTACTGCACGCAGCTGGCTCTGCCCAGGACGGGAAAGGCAGTTCCGGGCCCTTAGAAACCTACAATCTGGGTAGCAGTCCTTGAGAAGCGATGGGAAACTCCCAACACAAGAGTCATTCCCTTGAAACAGGAGCAAATGTCCAGTTTTGTCCGAACGGCCCGACCACCCGCATGGGATGAGAATGGTAATTCCCACAGTCCAGACCTCAGGGCGGGTCCTTCCCCAGGTGAGAATCTCCCGGGGGGGCTCTTTTGGCTGCTTTATGAACCTAAAAACCGTCTCAGGATGGCAGCCGCGGCATCCGGAAGACGTGGCTCCTGTGTGCTGCCGCCAGAGATGCGCCAAAGCCCCGAGAACCAGAGGCCGCCTGAACCTCCACCCCGGGCCCGCCCTGGTCCCGCCCGAGCAGATCTGCCCTCCAGATGCAGCCCCAACGCGCGAGATCTGACTTCACTGGGGCGGGACCTCGGCACACGCACGGTCCCCGTGCTGCTCCCCCGGCTGCGCACGCAGAAGCCACCACCACCTGGTCCCTGGGGACGGGGCCTAGGGACGCAAACAGCCCAACCCCAAAGTGATCGCGCCCACCCTGCTTCGCATCTTCCCCCTGCCTTGGACCCCAATCGCGGCCCAGCCTCACGGCTGTGTCTCCTCTATATGCTCGGTTTCACTCCCCTGAAATGCCCTCCACTTGGCCTTATAATTTACCCACGTCCTCGCAGTACCTTGCTGCCTTCTGTTCCACGTTCCCTTTGCCGCCCACGTCCACCCAAGCCCTCCTGACAAGGGGCCATCACATAATCTCTCCACAGGGGTTCCCTCCAGCCTTGGCCTGGCCTCTGATGGGGCCCTTCTCACCTCCAAAGCCATCACCTGTGGGCTCCTTGGGAGCAAACATGCCCCTTTCTCTCTGAATCTCCCTACATGCCATAACATCTACTCTTGGTACGGTTCTAACTGTGTTTGTTAATGAGAAAAAAGTGTAATCCAGTTGTGCTCTCTTCAAATGTGTTTTCTGAACAGGGCAGGAGAGCACTTTAACATACCCCAAATGTACCCTCCTTTGGCAGTTTCCTCGAACAGGAGCTGTGGAAGGTAAAGGGGGTGGGCATTCAGCCCAGCCAAGTACGGTTGCTCAGGTTGTACACAGTACAACTACGGAGAATACCATTATATCATGGCCATCATAGACCCATACGTTTATTGCAGTGATTTTGGCTCAGCTGGAAGTAAAGGGCCTCGAGGAAGGGGCAGGCACCTTTATCGAGTTCATGCAAAGACGGAGTACAGGCTTTTGGCTGCCTTGGGGAATGCAAGAGATGTCCATAGATGCCCGTCTACCTGGGGGCTGGGCTGCCATGGAATCAGGAGGTACCCATATAGATCCACATCAACACTGGCAGACACAACCCCGTGTGGTAAGTCTCCTGGGAGCCACACGGTACAGACCGTGCAAGGTTTCCGTCTTTTCACTCCCTAATAGCCCCATGCACACGGCAGGAAAGAGTGTGCTGAATACACATGGAGCGAGGCAGGAGTATGGTGGGAAATCGGTTGGCTGCCAGAGAGGGCCTCAGAGTCCCTGCCCCACTGGCAGGCCCGAAGACACTCCTGGTGCTTGCCTGGCAAGACCGCAGGTGGCCGGGCCTCAAGTGGCCTTAACTGTGGCGCCATGATGGACCTACAGAGATGGCTGCACTTGGCTTAGGTCCAGAAGGTGGCAGGTGCCAGCGATGACAGCTGGCATCTAGGATTTGTCAGTCACTGAACAAGCTCCCTTGGCAGTGGTGGCTGATCCTGGAGGAGCTGTAAACCTGAAACCACGGGAAGCCGGGCCTGGGCAGCTGGGATATGTGAGCAGGTGGGGCCCTGGGGTGGCTCTGTCTGCCCTGTCTC